AGCATTTTCAAGGTACATAACTAACAAAATTTAACTTAACCAGTGAAAACCACTAAATCAGCACCATTGAAGTGAAACCAAAACACTTAAATAAAACGCAATAGATATGAAAATACAACAACAAAAAAGTAGATTTTGACAAAGCAATAAAATTAAAATATGAGTGAAAAGCTATAACTGGGGCAAACGAGTATGTATTCGAAATAATATCATTTTTATGTGGCATCGCCAAGCAGTGTGCAATAAACGCGTGCGGCATACAAAAAAGCCAACCCACACAGTTGAGGTTGCGGCTGATGGTAGGCTGAAACTTTGGTGCGAGTGCAAACAAAATCTCGACTATATTTATATGCTGAGGATTTGATGGTTTAAGAGCATCCACACACATATGTATGTATGTATGTACATATGTATGCTAGATATACCAACATTTATATACAAATCTGTATGCATTATAATTAAACTCTTATACATATTTACATAAGAATATGACTGTGTTTCTCTGTGCGAGAAAATGGCATTATGTTGATCGCACAAACAAAATTTTTGTCCATTCGTTGATAAAATGACAACAAAATTGCGACAACCAAAATTATCTGCATTGTCTACGAATTCTTGCAGCCAGGCAGGCAGTCATGTAACGAACAAAGTAACCATAAGTAATCAGGGCATACGAATATACGTACATACATATATGATTATATAACGATAACTTCAAAAACCACACTTCGCCAACAATGAGAGGCAGAGAAAATATTGTTTCATTTTCAAAATAAAATTTCTTGAATTTTCTGCGAAAATGTCTATCAATGCGATTTAGTAGATTTGCATGCAAAACACGATTTCATAGTTTTGGTTAGTTGCCTGTGAACGGGCGTGGCGGTGTATGTATGAGAATTGTGGCAAACTGCTATGGTATGCGAAGGTTAGTAACCCATTTTCTCTATTTCAGTTTAGTTCACATATGTATGTAAATTGAGGTTTGTATTGGCGTTATTATTCTGTTTTTTTTTGCTCCAATTTATTGAGTACTCATTAGTTGTTGGTGTGCTCTAAAAATTTGCGGTTCTACTCATTGGCTTTTTGCAAAAGTGTTTGCAAATACACATTCATGCATAAAGTCGTAGATACAAAAAGTGTATGCAATTATATTTGCCTGTCATTTTATGTTGTTATAACCCTAAAAACAACCCCTCCGAAAATTCATACCCCGCAGAGTAGGTCTCTATGTTTTTGTTTTTAGCGTAGTATTGCACCATTTAGCCATCTCCTGCAGAGACAGTTCAGTACAGCTTTTGACAGCTGACAATAGTATTGGCGTTAATTGTGGTTCCTGAATAAACGAATTTGGCTACATATTCAAACTAGTAACTCTCAACAGTGACATGGGATGCTGTGACTGTTTGTATGATGGCAAGTGATACCTCGTCTTGTCCTCGTTAACCACCAGACCCATTTGGCAGATCAGATGTAGCCCTTGTTTTTACCGATGATATCGATGTCGTCGGCATACGCCAGCAATTGTACGCTCTTGTAATTAATTTTTCCTGTGCGGTTAAGTTCTGCAGCTCCTAATATCGTCTCAAATATAAGATTAAGGAAATCACACATAAGGTATTCAGCTTATCTGAAACCTCGTTTGATGATTTGGCGTATTGCGAATACCTGATCTACGGTACATTTACCACATCTAAATCCACACAGTTAAGTTCGTTAACGGTGGGCTTCAGGCTGTCACACAATACACTCGATAAGACCTTGTAACCCATGCTTAGAAGGCTGATCCCGCGGTAGTTGGCGCGAATGGCGGGGTTTGGGCAGAGCACACTCAAATTCTAGCCGTCGGGCAGCATTCATCTGCATAAGAGTTCCACTGGTAGGCTGTCAGCTCTAGCAGCTTTAAGGTTTTTCAACTGCGTAATTGCAATTCGTACCTCGTCATAATCAGGTGATGGAACATCGACTCGGTCATCATCGACTGGGGACTCAGGTTTGTCTTTTTCGCTACCTTCAGTGCTGCTGCAATTCAATATTGTGGAAAAGTTTCCCTCCATAATTTAAGTACGTTCTGGGCATCAGCCACTAGGTCGCCATTGCTGGTCTTATCAGAGTTCGTTCTGGTCTTAAAACCTTCCGTAAGTCGCTTAACCCACCGGTAAAATTTTCTGGCGTTTTTCCTGTCGGCCAGCATTTCAAACTCCTTGCACTCACGTATTTACGACGTATTACGACGAGTGCGTATCTTGGCTGCAACAAGATAGTGGTCTGAGTCGATGTTTGGACCTCAAAGTGTACTTACGTCTAAAACAGTAGAAGCGTGCCTTACGTCTATCAAACACTTTCTCGATTTGGTTTTTCGTTTTGCGATCTTTAGACAGCCATGTAGCTTGGTGGATATTTTTATGCTTGAACCTAGTACTGCATACCAACATGTTTCGGGCCCCCGCGAATTCGATCAGCCACAGTCCGTTGTCGGACGTTTCGTCTTGGAGCTGAGTTTTCCGAAAGTGGCGGCAAAGATCCTTTCTTTGTCCACCTCGGCATTGAAATCTCCAAGCACGATTTTATGTATTTTTAGTTTTTATTAAAAGATATAAAGTCAAAATTTTAAAGCAGTGATTAAATATTTTTCTGCGGCTTTGCTTGGAAAACTAATGACAATAGAATTGAAACAGTAACTCTCTCATTTTAGCCATGTTTAGCCATGTTTTAATTAAAACAAATAATTAATAATAATTATCTAGCTTAACAGGGATATGCTTGTAGATACTAAATCCAAAGAAACTGCAAAAAGTAAGAAAAATTTTAATTTTATCTTACCGCCGCGGCTTTTTTGCCAAAAAGTAAGCTAATTAATCTGGGTAACAAAAATTCTGCGGAAAATTATTGTACACAACAGCCACCAAACCATAGAAGGGGGCAAATTAGTCGTACGCATTGCACAGTTCAGCCCTGCCGATTTCCAACTCAATGCGCTTGACTTGTGATGGCAACGAAACGTTGCATAATTTACACGCCTGTCACGCCACCCAAAAGGCGGCCAACAAAGCGACTTCGTATAGGCAAAATTTAAGTTCGTTCTTAATATGCGTATGCACGTCCAAACACATTCTCAGTTATTAGCTCAACATAAATGTACCGAGTATACATATGTATATATCGTCGATGTTTTCGCAAAACCGCCTAAATCGCAGTTGTGGCAAAAATGAGATTTGGTAACCCTGAACTCCAGGAAACTGTCATTGTAAAATTCACTATGAAGGAAATGTTCTACAACTAAGTGATACATCCCAGCAAAAAACACGATTACCACAGAAGCGAAAGTGTAAACGAGCTAGGCGATGGGAATCGCTTACGCTTTCGCTTCAGGAAGGCCTTATTTTAACATGGGCATGTCATTGGCGGTAAGCTCTTACCCACAGCATTACCCTCGAACGAAGGGAGCACACTTTACATTTACGATTGACGAGAAACGAAGCATCAATGCCTTACATAGCGCGCATACAGAATGCATTGATATACATAATCCAGAGAAGCGAACAAAGAATGCCTTATCCTAGTTATTGGAAATAAACGAAGCAGTAATACCATCCATAGAAGCGAATACAGAATGCATTGATAAACAGATTCCAGAGAAGCGAATAAAAGAATGCCTTCTCCTAGTTATTGAGAATAAACGAAGCGTCAATGCCTTTCATAGAAGCGAATACAGAATGCATTGATAAATAGAATCCACAGAAGCTAACAAAGAACACCTTATTCTAGTGATTGAAAATAAACTAATCATCAATGTCTTACAGAGAAAGGAATGTAGAATGCCTACAAACACACTATGTACACTGCCGGAAAAAAGCATTGGTGCAGAATAAATGCAATAAGTTTTTTATTTTGGTTAATATGATCATACTACACGTAAAAACATAAAAATATAATTTATAAAATTTGTGCAAAACTCAGGAATGATCAATAAAATTTAATGGGCTACAAATCTGTATGCAAATTTATTGAACTTTCCTGAACTTTGCATAAATTTTAGAAATTATATTTTTACGTTTTTTGTTGTAGCATTAACCATATTTTTATAAAAAAATTTCCAGACAAAAATAAAAATAGTTGCATTTACTTTGAAATATTCTCTGTGCCAATACATTTTTCGGTGTGTGTATGTATGTATATTCATAAATTGAAAACAGAAAATACAGATTGCCTTAAGATAATGACATTTAATTTTCTTCGATTGCGTTTCAAATTCATAAATCCATTTTTATTCAGACATATATTTATATGTGTATTTAGATCTTATTTAAAAAGTTACTTAAAATTAAAATTGTACTTCAGTTCAGTGCGTGTAATTAAATCTAAAATTTGTGACAATCAGTTATTTAACGTTTGACTGTTGAATAAAAATGTACTTACTAAGATTTCATATTTTTTTTAATAAACATTTTTTGAAGTAACATTTTTTTGTTTTTTTTTTTATAAAAATAATGCTCACTTTAACCAAAATCATATGAATCAAAGTTTCAAACTTAATACAAAATTGAGAACAATTCAATTCATTAAAATTTCGATTTTTTAATGTAAGTCTTAGAAAATTTATTAAGTTTTTTAGCCCATACAATTTTTTTTCAATTGGCAAAGAAATTGCGCTGATCTTTATTAAATTTTTTACGTCTTCTGTGGCAGTTTTCATAAAAAATCAACGCATTTTCTTTGTCTCTTGAAACTTGAACTTTATAATAATAAAATTGTATGGGCTAAAAAACTTAATACATTTTCTAAGATTTCAGATTAAAAAATTCTAAATTTTAATGAATTCAATTCTTCTGAATTTTGTATTACGTTCGAAACTTTGATTCATATGGTTTTGGTTAAAGCAAACAATATTTTTATAAAAAATAAAAATAATAAAAATTTTAACTTAAAATGCATTGCAAATATTTGATTCGCTGCATGTACATACATATGTATATACTTATTTAATTAAACTTAAGGTTATAATTCAGTTCATTCTTTTTTGTTTGTTGTATAAATATATGTTTATGGAAATAAAACTTAATGTTAAGTATTTTAGTTAGACTTTAGTCTGATGTAGTTTCTGTGGTAGCTTCAGTTGCTGCTTCTGTTGTAGCTTCAGATGCTGCTTCTGTTGTCGCTTCAGTTTCAGGTCCTGAGCGTTTCCTCTTCAGGCAAGAGGCCTTGTGATGGCGGTTTTTGACCGATTTAAATGCGCAACGCAATTCCAGCAGGCATTCGTTTTCAGTAACGCCAAGCTTTTGAGCCGCTTCTGTCGGATAAATATTTAAAATAAATTGAATCGTTGGTAGGAGAAATGTAACTATATATGTATCTATATATTGAAAGCAATTTACAAAGCACATGCAGTGGCTCAAACAAATGAACACGTGTTGAACGGGTTTGAAACTTGCCCTTCATTAGAGTAAAATTGTATGGGCTATAAAACTGCCTACCCAAAAATGTTCTTAAGATTTAAATTAAAAAGTTGAAGTTTTGATGAAAATTTGTTGAATTTTCTTATATTTTCAATTAAATTAAGTTTGAAATTGTGGTTTATATGGTTTTGGTTAAAGCTTGGACGGTAAATTTTTAAAAAAGAATAACAAAAAAAAATAGCTCGAAAAACATTACGAATATTTAAACAATCAACACTTGGTCATTTGTTTGATTCACTGTATGTATGTACTTACGAATAAAGACATTCATAAGCTTCGTATAACGGAGCAGCGGGGTCTTGCCTTGTTTACCATCAATGTTGTGGTCCATTATAACGTTTTCGCTAAAAATCGACAGCAAGTTTGATTTAAAGCCGCCATTCTTAATAACGTGAAAAACGGTTGCAACCTGTTAAAAGTGATGACAAAATTTATGAATATTTTTTATTAGATAAATTTATAAATATACATACATACATACTTATGCATGTATATACACATCGTCGCCAATGCTAAACTAACGAATGTGAATAAATTATTTCATGTCCGATACTTTCAAATTGATTTTTCTATCAGAAAACCCGTAGAATTTCTCGCTTATTAAAGAAATGATTTCTTCCGCATCGGTTAGTTCGACAATGTGGCGACGATATATAGTAGGTATATATCTTTTTATTAAGAAAAAAAATTATAAAGATAAAAGTGCTTACCATTTGGGTTTCATTTTCGGTGCTTGTATGGGATTCAATGCTATCCAGTTCTTCCTGTGTTTTTATGGGAAACAGTGATACAAATTTCGGTACAGGGTATAAGCTTTCTGTGAAATTTTTCATTAATACGCTTTGTTCTGCTAAAATATTTTTAATGCATTCCAAATTTGTTTCGTATAAGCCTGCAAAAGTAAATGTTCATTTTTATTTATACATACACCGGCGTTCAAATAATTAGCACCGAAATTCAAAATGATATTGTGTACAACTTGTTCATTTATTTATTTAAATTTATTGCTTAAAATTCAGAAAATGTTTCGAAATTTTAAGCAAAATTTCACTTTTTTAAGAAAAGTTGCAAATTTACAATTTACTGGCTCATATTATACAATGAACTCTATTTTTATAAAAGATGAACGAAAAAGTGCTTTTATGACAAATATTTTAATTATTTAAAAAATCTCTACGGAAAATTTTTCTAGTGAGTGTATTTATTTCGAGTGTTATAATTTCAAAATAGTACCTCTCATTGCATTTATTTCCGAATTGAAACTGTCTGCTGCGGCATTCTTCCCCAACGCAATAACTTTTAACTCTTCTACTTCTCCTTTTAGTTCCATTATAATGCCTGAAAGTTTTTCTTTTATTATTTTATAGATCAATATTTTATTTGTCATACGATCGTGACCACGCAAACCTTACCACCGCTTTTTTTAAATTTCCTAGAATTTTGTGAATTAATAAAAAAAAATATTATTTTTTTAAATACAGTTCAAACCGCAACAAAAACATAAAAGTTTAAAACTTTTGTGGAAAATTTTGAAAAATACAAATTCAAATTGACACCTGGCTTGGTGTGGCGTGGCTACGAGTATTTTCTTTATTTTGCTAGCTCGAATTTTTGCCATTGTTAGAAATTCATGAAACTGTTAAGTAAAAAAAAAATAATAATGTTAGTAATTGTCTACGGAAGAATTAGTTAGTTAAATTAAATATACTTCAGCTCCAAAATGTATTCCAAATTGTTTGAAGTAACATAGTATATGTAGATATGTGTATAGTAACCATAAAATACTACCTTTTAATTCGTGAATTTCTTTTTTTAATTTTTTTATCTCGGCCATTTTTTATTATTTTTTATATACACGTACTTTTATTAAAATTTTTTTTTTATATACAACTGTGTACTAGCGGCAACAAAACGATACTGTCTTTGTATGGTAAAGATACTAGCTTGTAAGAGATTTCATTTAGATTTAGAAGACGGGTTTTCTTTTTAAATTAGATACGCGGCCTAAGATTGGCCATAGACCTACTAGCGAGCTTTTGAATAAGGGCAACCCGTCTATTCCTACATCAAGTCGCACTTCCTCTAATCCTTCCTCAATAATTTCCTCTATTACTTTTTCTAATTGTTTCCCTATTCCAATATGGACGTATTGCCCTGGTGGCACGGTCCGTATTACGCAACCTTGTTGCGAGCCTATTAAAGAAGTAACACTGGTGGGCACACAGAGGTTTTCTTATTTTAAAATTTTTAGAAGACTGGAGGCACATCTATAGGAGGGCCTAAATTCTAAAAACCAGTCCGACAATTTTTTCTTAAGTGGCGCTTGACTGGTTGTCACAACACTGTCTCCAATAACACGCTCAGCATTAATGTTTCCCTTTACTAATGCTCTGTTGCCGCTATTTGGTTCAACACTCTCACTACACAAACTTTCATTAAATTTTAAGTCAATTTTCTTTCTTTTATCTTTAGTTAAACGCTTCAAATGCCGCTTGCTTAGCATTTTATTTTTATCACTGACCTTTTTACACTTCTTCACTTACGTAATTCACTTTATTGACTGACTTCAACTTCGCTGTAAATTGAACAACGCAAAACATGATTTTTATGCGAGACAAATTTCCACAGAAAGCAACGGTATAAAAAGAATGTTTGGATATTCATTATATTTTTCCGCTGACTACGATGCATTCTACTTTGCATTCCCCGAAATGGAGCAGAGAAGTGAAATAAAAAAAAAATATTGTGGGACATTCTACTTTGCATTCCCTGAAATGAAGCAAAGAAACTAAATAAATAAAATATTGTAGGACATTCTACTTTGCATCCCCCCAAAATGAAGCAAAGAAGCGAATTAAAAAAAAAATATTGTAGG